GCCTGCTGCGCGCCAACAGCGCAGCTCGCACGGCGCGAGAGCAGTTCGCCTCGATGAAAGCCGTCCCCGCCGCAGCGCGCCTGACCATCATTTCGCGCACCTCGCTCTTGGGGTCGACCAGCGCGGCCTGCTCCGCCAGGCCGAAGTCCTCGTCGCACATAGCGCCAGGTACCTTGGGCTGTGTGCCCAACACCAGCGTCGCGGGCGAATACCCGTGCACGCTGCGTAAGATGCTCCGCTGGCTGGCGGTCATCCTGAGCGCGGTCTTGAGCGAGTCGTCGGGAAACTGCAGGTTGTGTTTGCTGAGCTGCTCCCTCCTGACCGCATGGTTGCGCTCCATGAGTCCGAGCTTGTGGTGCGCGCCTTTCGGGATCAGGTCGAGTGTGATGTTGTGCTGGCTCATCCACTGGTGCATCCTTCTTGACGCGCGCGAGCCTGTCATGTCCATTCTCGTGGTGTCGGGCTTGCCATCCCAGCTGATCCACAACTTCTGAAACAGCTTCACCTCCTTCTTGAAAGTCTCCTTCGCGATCGGGTAATCCACTTCGTAGCGCGTGAACTCATCATGGCCAAGATCTCCCGCTCCTTGTTCTTCCACGTGACGTAAAAGACGTCGGTGTTCACGACCTCGTTGAACCGTTTAGCTTTCGGCAGTACAGCTACGCGCACTGCTCGAGGTCGTTGCCTGCTCAGGCAAACTTCACACTGGAAGAGCTTGGCGCACTGAAGCCACTCGGCCGGGGCCTTCGCGCGCTTCATGGCGGTCGCCGGCGCCGCGTTGGAGGGGTGGCCCAGACTGATGTGAGCGCGCTTGGCCGCCCTGATCGTCGACGCGTTGAAACGCTTCATCAGCTCCTGCAGCACGTTGGTGTACTTGGTGGCGTCGATGTCCTTGGGGACCTCCTCGGCGGTGCTGATGTCCTCAATGTCGTCGACCATGCCCTGATAAGCGATCAAGTAGGCCATCCTTCGCGCCATCGGTCTCGGGTAGTTCTGAGCCTGCTGGGCAAGCTTGCCGCGCAAGACCACGTGCTCCTCGGCGCAGCTGCATTTCATGTTCATGTGGTGTACAAACTCCTTGTTCGTCGACTGGAGTCGCGTAGGCTTCTTGCACGGCATAAGCTTACCCTGAATCTCGAACTTCGCGCCCAGCCTGCACTGGTCGAGCCGGCAGTGGCATCCAGGTAACTCCTGCCAGGTCTTGGTCTGCCAGTGTAGCCCTTGCCACGGGCCTTCTACATGCTCATGACGTCCACCGTTCTGCTGCTTCACAAATGAATCCCGGACCATATTGAGGAACGTCTTTTCCTCTCTCTGTCTGGTGAGGTTGATCCCCTTCGCGCGTTCCTCCGAAAGCTTCTCATTGACACGTTGCCAAGAGCACCAGATCCTGCATGGGGGTGCGAAGAAGATGTCATCGGGCTTCCCCTCATCGATCTTACTCAAGAAGCAGCGAATCACGCTGGGCTTGGAAAAGTCCCAGCCGTCGGCTAGCCTGAACTGGACCACCTTGACCTGCGGGAACTCCAGCAGCTCCTCCGACAAAGCCCCTTGGTCCACGAAGACCTCCCAGACCACGCGTCCGCGGGGTCCTCTGAGCGTATCCTTCATGTCGGTCTCCGCTTGCTCCAGGGCCAAGATCAGGTGTCCGCGTCCATATCTGTGAACCCCTCGGTCGTCAGCGCCTCGTCGTCGCTGCCGATGCCGTAGAACTCCGGGGCGGTCTCGAGGTAGTAGGCATCGGCGTCCGGCACCGAAGAGTCGCTGCCATCGTCGGTCTCTCCCTTCACCGAGCCCCCCTCCGAGTCCTTGTCCGTCGAGTCGTCGCTGCTCTCCTCGCCGTCCGTGGGAGCGCCCTCGCTCATGGCGTCGTCTGCATCCTTCCCGGCGCTGCCCAACAGATCAATGATGAAGTGGCCTTTCTCATCGCGCCCGGACTTCATCCAACCTTTGTCGGGAAGGTCCTTCATCCTGAACGCACCTGCTCGGTGGTCCTGAATGAGACCCCACTCCTCCATGCAGGGCCTGGCGATGAGCAGCGGCGCCCACCCCTCGACGAGGTAGATGGTGACTTGCTTCTTGATGCCGAACGGCCATACCGACAACGCCACTGCCTTCTTCGCCTCCAGCGTCTTCCCGTCTCCGAACCTGAGCCGTCGATCACTCCTCTCATACTTGACCTCGCGCAGCAACTGCTTCACGCGCAGCAGCTCCCCCCACTGCGCCCAGACCTTGTCGCCCATGACGGGCCGCGTAGCGCCTCCGTCGCTGATGCCCTTGCCGACTGTCAGCAGGAACACCTCCTCGGTCGAATTCGCGCACTTCAACGTCTCGACGTCCTCGACCATGTTGCCTGACTCGGTCTCCGCCCTGGTGAATCCGACGCGACGGAATCCCTTGAACCTCGGGCCGTGCTGCTGCGTCGAGCCCGTCGCGGTCGATCCCGCACTCGATGCAGCCGGCGAGCGGGCGAACGGGGCCTTCGGGAACTTGAGCGCTGATGGATCTCGTCGTGGCTGACCTGACCTTTTGCCTTTCCATTTGCCTTTGCCGCGTCCACGCCCCTTGCCTTTGCCTGGGGCTCGGGCAGGTCGTGTTTCGCGGTAGTTGTTGTCGGGCGCCGCGGCGACGATCGGGTAGAAGCCTCTGGACTTCGCGATCTCCGCCACGCGCTTCTTTTCGTAGCTCAGGCCTCGCTCCCACTCGCGGTCGTTTGCGAGCGTCGTCCTTGGCATTCTGCCCGAGCAGCATCTTCTCCACTCGTTTGATGTCACGCTTGTCGGGCAAACCCTCGGCTCCGTACGTGTCGAGTAGAGCTTTTTCACCTTTTGCCAGCTGAGGCCGTCTACGCATTGACTCCGAACCAGGGCGGCACCTGACGGCGGGATCGCCGCTCCCGTGAGGAGGTGCCAGCCCGCTAGCATATCTGGAATCTCCATGCCCACTTCCTTCAGCTTCCTGAGGTCGCGCTGATGGCGCAGGCAGTACAACTTCATGGGCTCCTTCTCCTGGCGGGCGAACCTGCCGAAGAACTGATCCGTCCGGGCTGGCAGCTCAGTCTGGTTGTCGTACTTGTAGTACTCGTCCAGGACCTTGAACAGCGGCCTGAAGGCCTCGTCTGTCTCTAGCAGGTCCAAGTCGATCTCCTCCGTAGCCTCGGCCGCCTGTCCTTGCAGCGAGTTCATGACCAGGAAAGCCCCCTCGCTGATGGCGGTCGTGCCGCGCTTGCGGCAGCACCTCTCGAAGACCTCTAGCTTTCGTCTGAAAGCTCGGTAGCCGTCGGTTTTCAGCAGCTCGTAGCTGGGCGCCGTCTTGGACAGGCCAGCATCGAGTCCTCTTCCCCCGTCCCAGGTCGAACTCTCCTGGCGCCACCAGCCTCCGCCTATCCAGCCAGCCCGCTCCTCGGCGTAGGCTGCCTCGTCGCCCTCGCCGCCGGTGCCCGGGTGGTCGCGGCAGCACGGTCCACGCCGGTGGCGGCCGAAGCGGCAGCGGCGGCAGGAGGCGGGGTGCCCGGCGGCTTCGCCGGCGGCGGTCCTGGCGGCTTCGCGGGTCCGCGGGGCGGCGCCTCGCCGGCGGGCATGGCGGCGTCGACGGGGATGCCGGAGATGGGTGTGGATCTCCGGGTCCGCTACCAATCTCAACTGATGGCATCACACTAGGACTGTCTCGGGATGTACGTGATCTGATTATGTTGATAATCCGGGAAAGAATACGCAACCTTTTCCTGTGACTCAGGGGCCCCTGAACATCAAACGGCAACGGTACAACCAGAATCAAACACTGTGCTAATACAATGCAACTGACACTGCATACACACATGAAAACTCAATGAAACATGGGTGATATTGACAATATGAAGCCACGAGAGTGTGAGAGGCATGCCGAAATTGTGAAGTGGCGGCATGCGGGCGCAACCTCTGGGGCCTTCGGAGGAGCTCCCTATGGGGCCGCAGGTAAGGAATGTGCCGAAATAGGGGCGGTCACGTATACCATTCCTGGCAAAAGAGCCTTCGGTGGAGCTCCTTAGTGGGCCACGAAGCGCGTGAGGGGTGCGCCAAAATAGTCTGGGTGGCAGCATGCCGGCGCAGCCACAGAGGCCATAGGTGGAGCTCTCTATGGGGCCACGAAACGCTTGAGGGGGGCGCAGGGGCACAACCACTCGGGCCTGAGGTAGAGGTCCACATGAGGCTGCGAAACGTATGAGCAGTGCGTCAAAGTGGCGGGGCCTTCGGTGGAGCTCCCTGTGGGTCTGCGAAACGTGTGAGTAGTGCGTCAAAGTGGGATGGTGGCATCATGCGGGCGCAACCGCTGGGGCCTTAGGTGGAACTCCCTGGGCCACGAAATGGGGCCACGAAAAGTGTGAGGGGTGTGCCGAAATGTGGTGGCGGCTGCATGCGGGTGCGACCGCTTGGGCCTTATGTGGAGCTCCCTATGGAGCCACGAAGCATACGAGGGGTGCGCCAAAATGGGGTGTTGGTGGAATGCGAGCGCAACACTGTCGGCATAGGTGGAGCTCCCTGTGGGGCCACGAAGCGTGTGAGGGGTGTGCCAAAGTGGGAGGGGGGGGGCATTCGGGCGCAAGGGAGGGGGAAGGGAGGAGAGGGAGGAGTAGAGAGGGAGGGACCGAGACGCGGGCCGCTGCTGACTCAAAACAATGACCCAACACCACAAGATGGTTGGGACTACACAGAACGTGGCAACACCACGCCCTCAACAAGCCGATATTTTACGAACATGTCCATGTTGCAAGCGGCCCTGCTCGGGTGGTCGGCCACAAACGTGTTTGCAATGCACACAACATGTTGTATAGGGGAACTCGCAAGATGTGATGCAACGTTGGCGACCTCGTTGTCCGAAGACCGCTCCGCCCGTGCATCTGTGCGCAGTGGCCGCACCAACGCTATGATGAATTGCAAATGGCGCTGGTGACGTGCCAGGACTGGGCGCAACCGTGTCCAATTTGTTGAGAACGATAACGAATTCCTTGCTCAACGTCTTCGTCACGTGGTAGACCTCCGCAGCGCCGATCGCCATTATTACACGAAACTCGTTCCCCTCTGTCTGGCGGGGAAGACAACGAGGGAGGTGGAGGGGTGGGGGGATAAAGGCGATGGAAGCAAAGCGAGGAAGCATGTCATAACTCTGGGGCGGAGGGACTGCGTAGAGGGCATATGCTGGAGCCCGTGGCCCTCCCACGGGCAATCAATACGTGCCCGAGGTGGACCACCTTCGCACGTCGCTGCGAGACGCTCGGCTCTCTTCGCGTCCCCGGGCTCTAGGACACAGCAAAGGGAAATCATGGAGGGAAAGGGAACGAGAAGAGAGAACACCGTGCTCTCTTCCTCTCCAATGCCCGTCTCGCTCTTCCAGCATCCAATGCTGTTCCCTCTGCCCTTGCTCTTCAGTTCCTCTT